TAAGCAACGTCTATTTCAAGCTGACAGTTCCTAACTTCTCCACAGCTGTTTATCCTGTTGTAAAAATATGCTAAGTCTCTGCAGGGTGATCTTACACCCTTTTGAACCTGAACAAATACAATTCTTACTTAAAAAGAAAGATATAAGTTGCACACACAATTTTTTACTTCCCATTATTCTTCAGGGTTCCTAGGAGACAGTGCAAAGTGCACTTAAAGCGTTCATAGGTTCCCTTGCCCTCATGTTGATAGGGCCTGGTTGTTTTTTTGGTTGTCTTTCGTACAAACCACTTAAAGCTGGGCATACACTGTACGATTTTTTGTCCTTCTCTGGCCGATTCTCCAGTGATGCGATAATTTTTCGATCAGACTGACTTTCAGCCTGATCGTGTGTCGTGTACAGCGGGTAACGAGGGTCGTTAGCGTCTCATGACCACCTCCCGAAAGGAATCAAACATGTCTGAAATTCAGTCGGCCGTCGTAAGGTGGACGTGGGCAAATCGCAAAGCTCGCATTAAAACAGGGATTCTTCTTCCTCTCAGACGAAAATGCAGAGCATAGCGGCGGTGCTAATGTAATGAAGTTCTTTCCGTAAAATTGACAGACCATAGTAGCCACGTTTGCTCAGCCATATCCTTGTCCAAATACATCATCGCCTTTTCTTTTTAGGGCTTTCAGCACAAAAAAATTTGACAAATTGCCAAAGTAGCATGTTTCACTCTAGTGGGCTTCATATTCCTATTCTTCTACTCGTTTGGGTTCCGGATAGACGAGTCAGAGTAACGCCATCTCACTGCGGAGCTGAGTCCGACATGGTTTTTATACGTACAGTGTGAGGTAGATTGCATCAGAGCATCGGCCTGCACAGTGTGAGAACATACATCGTGAGCTGTGAACTCACACTGTACAAGGAAACCCTGCAACTTCCTTTTACAATGTGAGCTGTAGCTGCATGCAATGATTGAAAAAAATCATACAGTGTCTGCCCAGGTTAACTCTGTCAAGATGGCTGATTTAAAAGTAGCTTCTTGGTCCGAAAGAAGCCTCTGAAGGCTACCTACCAGACGAATAACATGCTTCCACAGGGCCTTAACTGTGGTTTTAGCAGATGATCGCAGGTAGGAATAGCCCAGGCATACTTGGTAAATTGATCCATCAACAACAGCACATATTGGTGTCCATTTGTCGACAGCAGTAGCATTAGAAAATCCATAGCCAGAGGTCTAGAGGGGTTGATGTAAGAGGCACCTTGGAAAAGAGGAGCATAAGGCCTTGACTGCTTCTGCCTGCTTAGGCCAGTAAAAACGGTTTGTCACCAATTCAAGAGTCTTTTCTATAATGTATAGCCTGCCTTTTCATGGCAGACTTGCCACACTTGTTGTGTATACACAGCTGGTAGGATATGTTGAAAATTATCCCTAGTCTTTTGGTCTTGCATCCTTTGGCATCCTAACACAGGATGCCACACTGGAAAAAATCCAAATCTAGATAAGTAATTTTTTCTTAGAATAAGTGCATTTGTTCTTGGATTGAGGAGGTAAAGGAGTCATTTTGCCAATGGAACAAGACAATTTACACTTAAAACACAATTGTCTTATTTCAAGTGCATATTATCTAAATATCTGATTTTAAGAGTAAAATTGGTCATTCCGTTGGCAAACTATCTTATTTACCTGCTCAAATTAAGGGTAAATACACTTAATTTAAGACATTTTTTACAAATTTTTAGATCGTTTTTGCAGTGCATCTTTCAATGAAAGACGACCTCCTTCCCTTAGGAGCATTAAGTCAGGTTTATGCTCAGAAACCAGGTCATCTGCAGGTGTGTCGCAGTTATCTGTGTTAACTGCGACAGTGCCACAGATAGCTTCTCAGGGAGGAGAGAAAGGAGGCCTCTGATTGGTCAATTCTACATCCGCTATTCACTATGTGTGTTTCCTGTTTGGTACCTAATGGCAGAAAGTCTGGCTGTAGTAGACGCTAGTTTGTATCTCTGTGCAGGGTCTGTTGGTTTGCACCCAAAGCCAAAACAAAGCTCTACTGATACCCACAATCCTAGCTAGTTTGTGATTGTCCCTCTTGAGTTGTGGCGTGTAATAACATAGCGCAGACCCGCTTCAATATTGGGCATAAATCAAAAATATCTGCGTGATACCTGCGACATGCTACACACTGCTTAGGGAGTATACTCAGCCCTTTAATCATTGGGTGTAAAGTTTGTCTTTGGATATGGTCAGGTAGAGTCTCTGATGGCAAACGCTGTAACACTTGCTGGATCACTATTCGGATAGCGACCATGTCGATCAGGGATGCCCTTCTGCCATGGCCAAGTGTCCTTACTAATTGAAGTACTCGAATTGAGCCCTGGTGTGTTGTTCCCTAGGCAACTATGACAGCAGCACATATGTGACTGAGGTCCTGCTCTAATGCCACCACAACAATTTGAATGGCCTTTGGTACTTCCTCAATTTTATTCCTTTATTCTCAGCTTTAGAATAAATGTCTGTGCATTTATGAAAATGCCGAACAAATTTGTTCAATAGAGGATATAATATTTACCTGCCAAATGGCGCACAGTTCCCTAATTTAAGAGGCCACAACCCTGTGGTCTTCCCTATTTAAGACAGGGTTTTGTGTTGGTGTTAGCAAGAAATTTGTGGATTTAATTTGCTTGACCATAAAGCAGCAAGAACTTGCAACAGTGCTGTTCACAGATGGCAGCTGTAGTCACTGTGTGAAGAAAATGCTTACAGAGGAGCAGAGAATGTACCTTTTCTGTTTATATGAAATTAAAAATGAATTATCAGGACTGATCACAGATAAAAAAAATACTTTTAAGCAGAGCAGCTATCATCTGGTTCACTCAACCTGTCACAACCAGTCAAGCACTCTGTTTCTGAACCTGAAAGCAATTTAACTTAAAAACATCTGTCACATCCCCGTTCCAGATACAACAGACACATAAAACCATTTGAAAAAAATAACATCTAATCAAAGGTGATATAGATGAGAAAGGCTGATTCAGATTGTTAGTCTTCAGCACCACAGCAGTTTAAAAAGCACAGAGAAAACAGTGGAATACACAGACAAGCAAATTTCCTCATAATATAATCTAATTATTAATTAATTTTACCACAGACTGACACAGAGAAATGCCCCTCAGTGGGATAAGAGTACCTACATATTCATCAGTGCTGCAATTTCTTATATAAATTATTTGCTTTATCAAAATACAGGCTTACTGAAAGCCACTTTTTTTTTTAACTTGATATGATGATTTTGATTAAAAGTATGAACAGACAAGTGCAAGATGATGCAACACCTTTGGCCCCACAACCTCTACAAGGACTCATGCACTGGATAGCATACCTAAAATACTACTCTGGGAGGGACAATAAAATGCTAGAAAATGCATCCAGACACCAAAAAGTGCAGAGTTGCAGGGAGCCTTTGCCCAAAATACAACTGTTTGATAGAAAATATGTCTCTATTTTTCTGACAGTTCAAATATGTTGATACATTTGTAAAAGATTAAGCCTCCTTCTCACCACAACAACCACAGAAATGTTGCTCACAAGTTTGCAACCGACTTTCAAATTTGGTAAGTACTGATCCACAACCCAGACCTGGAATATCTTTTAGACTTGGGTCTTAAGTTTGCACATTTTCATATCCTCCCAGTATTTTGCATGTTCTGATAATCATCATTTGCTTTTAAATCAGTTTTGCATGTAATCAAACTTGCAGGTTCCTATACAAGCAAATCTTTATTGGATTAAGGCCCAAAAGTAGATACACATAATAAAAGAATAAATTAAGATACTGAATACAAATGCATGAACTCATTTGGCAAGAGAAAAATCCCAATCATCATAAATTAAAACATGTCAGCTTTTAATGAACTACCACTTAGGTCTTTATGAGCTTATTTTTAGACAAATTGTTTAGCTGGAAACTCTTTCCCTTCTTTGCCAGATGTGTAACCTCTGTTGATCTCCATTGGGAAGTTGAGGCATCTCCAAAGTTTAGAAAATTCGAGCTTGGCTCAGTAGGTGTTGTTAGATTCAAAATATTGTGAGTTCATATTTCATATATGACAAAAATGAATCTGAAGCACACAAAAGGATTTTTGAAACAGAGCTTTTCCTGCAGGAATGAGAAAGGCTGCTGCTCACATCCCAGCACCAATCTGACCCCCAACAGAACAGCAGTCTTTTATTCACAGAGCAGAAACAAATGGGTGGGTCTTAAACAGAAAACCCTGTAATGATTATCTGGCAGGATGCAGATCATAAGACAGTGTAAAATGACCATCTGGCTGGATGGAAGTCACACAACCGTGTGACTCTGCCTCATGACCTACTGGATGCAGGTCATAAAAGTTTATGACCCTCCTGATTGAATCACAGGACAGAAATGTAGCATCTTATTTATTCAATGTTTCATATGCCCACACAATAATTTCATAATTATAACTCTTACAGGTGTGTCCTTTGTTGGTGTCCTCTCATCAGTCCTGTAACCACTGTAAACTAAAGATGAGAGATGTTGCAGATTTTATTTTTTATTTTTAGAGCTATAGGGTTCTAATGTCCAAAATTAATATAATTTAAGGGGAAAAAAATAAATAAAATAACAGTTTGGACTATTGAACCATTTAAAATGTTAATGAGTTCCTCATATATTAGGACATGTAACAAAAAAAATCTCACTGGTTTCATGTAATTCAAAGTGATTCCAAGAACTAGTAAAATACACAGAATTTCCTGGAGATTTCATACGAGATTTTAACAGTTACGTGCCTTATCCTGCTCTAAGGCCCTCCTTCCAACCACAGTCAACCACAGCATTTGTTCACACAGTTTACCTTGCTCTTTCCTTTTAGACATTATGTTAAGTAGTTGTGTGTCTCTATGTGGGTCATATAAGTACATATTTTGGTTTAAATACTAAATTTGGATGATCTAATTGTAATATTCCTTCAAACATCAAACAATGACAGAAACACTGCAGATATAACTTACAGTAAGAGACTTTATTTTCAGATTCCTTATTCTGTATTCAAGGTCATGGATAGTTCAACATTTTCAAAAGGGTTTAATCAGAAAATCTATTGTTAAGGTTTTTTAATCACTGTTTAGAATCATCTTATATCAAAGTTAAAAAATCCACAATTAGGTGACAAGCTGGCAAAGCTGTTACTTGAACTGTCTGAATATCCTTACTTGTAGTCACAGTCTTTCTTGTCTTTATTAACCAGTATATAATACCTGGGATATTACCTGAGATTCCGATTTCTGACCAATTACAGAAAAAAAATATCATTTAGAGAAGGCACAAAGTCTTTCCAAAACAAAGAAAGTGGAACTAAACCAGTCAAATATATAAATGGGAAGACATTTAAATTATACAATCACACATCTGCATAAATGTTTTGGTTTATTAACAAAGTTAAAAGATTGATTTTTAGCTCCTTAGCTAACCTTTTGGACAAATCAAAGTAGTCTGTTTTTGTAATATTTTCTGTTTCTCAATCAGTTTCTCTTCTAGGCACTGAATCAGAACAGGATCCACTTTGGGATCAAACTTGTTGGCAAACCAGTGGCCATAGTTCAGCAACCAATACAGTTCGGCTGCACCGAAAATACAAACACTGCGCACGTGTGTCCCAGAACACGGCGGATAAAGGTTCTCTTCCAAGTAATGCCATTTTACAAGCCTCGTTTTGCTCATTAGGTCTGTGACATCAGGATGGGATCTGGGCAACCCCCCTGGAACACCTGGAAGTCGTACAAGTGTGGCCCAGAAGTGTTCATCCGGAGAGTAAGTGTCCTCTGACCAGGCCAGGAAATCCCTCACCACAGCCGATGAATTTGTGAACTCAACAAATTCACGTGACAACACAAAGTAGGCATTCCCAATAAACATCTTTATGCCATGTGGCGGTTGTGTCTTTTCCTGTTGTGTTTTTACTGGAAGTTTTTTATACTCAAAACTGGCCTCCTGCAGCTCATGATGGTAAAGGAACCTCTCCTTCTTGAGGTCGCTGGGTTTGCTCGTCTCCAACATATTGGAGCCCTTTAATAACTTGAGCTCTGACACCAGCTCCATGTTGGATTTTAGCGGGAAATCTTGGCCACAAAGGTTGATGACATACTTCCACTTGACCTCTGATATCAGAAGATCAGACAGGCAGTTGAGGTCGGCCTTCAACCGGCTGATACTTGCATAGTAGACGGCCTCGCGTTTGCTGGAGATGAAAACGTTAGGCAGACAACGGGCCAAACCCTCCATGGCAGCCATGAACTGAGCCGATGACTTCTGATCATAGTGGATACAATAGATATTACTGGGAGAGTACACTGCCCTGAGGAGTTTCTCTACCATCCAAGCGTTTTTATGTACAACCAAAGAGTATGCAATAGGAAAATCTTTCTCCTCCTCAGAAATGCACATATTCCCGTAACCTCTGTGCTTCATGAAGAAGGGACAGTCTTCTGTGGTTTTGATCAGACTTTCATCACTACCTTCCTCTATCGTTTTCCTTCTGATGATGAGGGATTTCCCAACTTCAACCGGGTCCATGTTGTAAATACCCTCACAGCTGATGTTGTGCTTGACAAATGGCTCTATGATCGGGTCTTGTGAAGGAGATGCGGGAATGTAGATATACTTGATGCTGACCAGCAGGAAAGCTAATGCCAGAGCGGAGAGGAAAGAGGTGAGAAACGTTTTTCTAAGCTTCAGCAGGAAACGTCTTGAAGTCATTCTGTGAGGAAACAAAAAGAAACATTTGAGGACCTGAAACACAAACTTAAAACCCTCCTAGTGTGACTGAGAGCAGAACAAGGATCTAAAACCAGACAGTTATAGGTTTTTTTCTTTTTTTTTTTTTGCATGTCCATTTTGAACCTTTGGATTTGTTAAAAAAATTGTTGAATTCTGTTTCTGTTCCCTCATCACCATTGTGGCACTGACAGAGGCATACTTTGAACCACATTTAATTTCGCTGTGTCTCAATCAGGCGGGAAAGAATTTTATTTCTGCATAGCTAAGATAGGGAGAGTCATTTCCTCAAAAGACTTCAGGGCGAGCATTTTAGGCTGCACATGTTTAATGTCTGTAGTTAGAATTAACAGTAGATTACAGCTGGCTGGTTTGTTCAATATTGAAATTAAACATTTAATTTTTCAAAGGGATAAAATTGTAATTATCCGTATGACGTGTTAATGCATCTGATGCCATTTGTCTTGTAGTTAAGTTGTTTAACACAGACTGTCTGTTGCATAGACAAGTATACATTTTAATGCCCCTATAATTATTACAAAAGTGCAGTCTTGTGATCCACTATCTGGCTTCTGTCAGCATGTCTGTTAAAGAAAGGAAGTGTAGCCTAGAGAAGGAAGATTATTCAACAACCATGAGTCTTATTTTTAAACAAAAAAGGAACTAATTATTTGTGTTGACACAGTGAGCAAATAAAGACGCGCTGGCTGAAAACACTGGGACAAAACAAAATTCCTCTACTAAAACGAGAAAGTAAGTAAAGTATTTTTATCAAGAGCCTTTCACAGGTAAAACAATCATGAAGCTCTAAACAGAAAACCAAGAAAATAACACCTAAAATAAAAACAAAAAGATAAAATGGCAATAAAATCACAACACAAAAGTCAAATGAAAACAATGTTAAATTGCGTCTTATATTTCTTCTGAATGTATAAACCATAACCGTCGTTTTTTATAGCACATTTTCTTAAACTATAAATACTTATAGCAAATCCACTCACTGGGTTTGCAAAAGGTAAAGCGCACACACTGCTTTGCACTCAGTAACACACACTTTCAAAAACCGTTGGTACAATCCACTGATTAGCACTCTTTTTGCAGAACTATAAACACAAATCATTGCTTTACACTCAATTTGCAAATGATCAACACACTCCTAGCAAAACTATACACATTCATGGCTATTATTTACACTATTATGCCAACTGTCTGGCACACTGTAACATGTTAAAACTGTTTTAGATGATTAGTTCACTTTGCAATCAGCCTAAGCACTATAAATAAACCACAGGTGAGCTGTCTGTGAGGAGTAAAACAGAGGGAGCAAGGAGAATAAGAATTACTGGAGACCGAGGAAGAGGACATGAAGGTGAAGAAAGAGGAGACCAGATAATTCATCATATGGGGCAATGTTATTTTTACTTACTTTTATTTTGCTTTTTTGTATTTGTTTCATTATCTAATTCATGTAAATCCTGGAATTGTCCATATGGTAAATGGCCTGTACTTATATAGAGCTTTTTCAAGTCAGGAGACTTGACCAAAGCATTTTACACTACATTTAGTCATTCACCCATTCACTCACACATTGATGGAGGCAAGCTACATTGTAGCCACAGCTGCCCTGGGGTTCACTGACAGTAGCAGTGCTGCCGCACACTGGTGCCACCGGGCCCTCTGACCATTAGTAGACAACGCAGGTAAAGTGTCTTGCACAAGGACACAACGACACTGAAAGTCGGAGCCGGGACTTGAACCGTCAATCCTTCGATTTCTGGGCAAACTCCTACATCTGACGCCACTGTTGCCCCGGCATATACTAATTTGTCTTACACAAATAAAATGGCCTTGCCTTCCATAGGGCTGCTTTGATCAGCAACTGCTTTACAGATCACCCGTTCTTCACTGCAATCAACCTCCTCCCATACTCTCCATTCTTGAATCCGATTGAAGAGTTCTTCTCTGCCTGGCGCTGGAACGTCTATAACCCCATCCACGCACACCCCTATGACAGGCAATGGGGGCATGTGTGGATATTGACCAGGAAATGGCATTCCAGGAGATTTTTTTTGCCATTGACAAGAGGTCATTACATGTGATGTAGATGAAGTCTACATGGCCAGGCCAAGAGAGACGACACAATGCCACTCTCAATGATTTAGTGTTTTGACTTGGAAAAAAATCACTTGTGTTTGTTTTGATGTGTGTAGATAAACACCAATATGTGAAGTTTGGATCCCTTTATGTTTACAGAACCATGACAAAAGTCTGACACAGGCTTCCTTCTGCACAGAGAAAGCAGAAGGAAGCCAGATGTGTTTTCTATTTATACCATTAGGGTGTAGTTCCTACATTGAGTGCCTAATAATATGATGGCTTGTCTTCACATTTTGAAACAAAAAGACAATTTGTATGAAGATTTGAAGAGTTAGGCAAGGTTTATTAGCTTTTGGAAGAGAGCTACAATGTTTTGCTGATTTGCTGGAAGGTTTTCTTATTTGTGGCTGGATTTTTGCAAAAATAGCTAATAGTTACAAATATGGCCATCATAAAAAGTAAAAAAGTCCACATAGTCAACTAAACCTAGCTGCAGAGGTAGACTGTTCCTCAGCATTGGTGTCATGGACTGAAAGAAGATTACATAAATAATATGTGGCCTGGTTGTTTATTGCTCGATATGTTAATGTGAGGTTTTTAAACAGGATCCTGAATTATATTAGTGGACAGTGTGAGGAATTTAAAATGGGAGTTATGTGATTTGGCTTCAGGTCAAGAGTCTGGCTGCAGAATTTTGTACAGAGTGGATGCATGAGAGTGGAGACTTCAGAGCTGGTTGTACTCCCCGCAACAGTGTGGCGCAGTGAGTTTGTCACAGATATTTTTGATTTATGCCCAATTTTGAAGCGTGGTGTGCGCTATGTTATTCCACAACGGAAGAGGGACAATCAGGAACTAGCTGTGTCTATATCTAGATACGGCCAGGGCAGTGAGGAAGTGGAAAAATCCAGGTGGATAAATTTTGGTTTTTTTTTAATGTTAATATGGCGTGCAGGAGGTCAAGAAAAACATTCATTATGTTTTCCAATGTTGGAAATATTTGTATAATAAGTAAATTTAAACAATAACTGTAAACATTTCTTTCAACGAAAATTTGCATCATAGCCTCAGAGAGCACTCAAAGCCTGCAACACGTTTCAGCAGGACGGAGTGTGCGTCGGACCATGGATCCTAAAGGGAAAAAAGGAAGATAGCTGATGAGGAAAGAGGATTCAAAGAAGAATGCACCAAATAATTTGCTTTCATTATCAATGCGGAAGGATTGCCTGCATTTTTGCTTTGTAATAAGAGGTTGTCAAAAATTTAAAAGAGTAAGTCGGAAAGGCATTTCCAGGGATGGCAGGCTAAATATGCAGCCAACCAATGAAGAAGGGAATGAGAGAAATAATGTTGTTGCAGAACTTCTGGATAAATTAGTGGAGAGCAAAGATAGATTTAGGACATGGACTGCATCTCAAAACTCCACTACTGCTGTTAGTTTTGATGCAAGCATGGAAAACTGCCCACAGATCTAACAGCTAGTTCTCTTATGCAGATATGTGAGTTTTCATCCATTTTTTCCCAAATCCTCAAAATATAAATATCACCAAGGAACGCTGGTGATGGAGGATGTGAGATTTCGGGGGTTAGAGAGCTCTGACCTGATGGATGTCAGTTCATGCTTGGTTCCTCATGACTCAATCAATTCCTCCCAACAGAAACACGTGCACCATAGAAAAATTCCTTTATTGTGTTTCTATAATTTCATCAATGTAACAAAACCTAAGCCGTGCGTTGAAGGATGATGAATTCCACGCGGTGAGAGCGTTCACTGCTCCTCCCTCACCTTATGCTGCTATGTGACAATTGCTCCAGGATAAAGCTTTAATCAAGAAAGCTTATTATATATATTTAAGCCCACATGGTCCTTTTCTATAGTGGGCTAATACACTTAAAGCCTGTGTTGCCATACAAGGCTTATGTAAGACTTTTACATTTTTTGTGGCTCCAGACAGATTTGTTTTTTGTTTTTTTGGTCCAGTGTGGCTTTTTGAGCAGTTTGGGTTGTAGACCTCTGAAATAGAGTGTTACAATAATCTAAGCTCAAAGAATAAAATGCATTGATAATCTATTTTTTTTTAATACAGCTGGGGAGACCATGTGTGGGAGTTTAGATGTTATTTATACATAAAAACAGAACGTTAGACAAGGCCCAAAGAAGAACTAATAAATTACACCTAGATTTAATATACAGGGCTTTGGAGTTTGATCAATTAAAGCAAGAGCCTGACTGATTTTTGATCATAGAGCAGGAGGCACTATAATGGAAAGCCAATTACAGATCTTGGATAAACAGTGGACAAGGGTGAACAGCTTGACAGCTGGTGAGACTCAAATGACGTATACAGTTATATGAGATCTGTAAAATGATATCAAATATCATTAAAAGATTTAATAACATACACTAAAGGAAGAATATAAAAAGTAAACAACAGAGGACCCAAAACAGACCCATGTGGAACCCCATAATATTATATATATATATATATATATATATATATATATATATATATATATATATATATATATATATACCATCTGATACCATCTGTTTGAAATTGATGTGTGTGTATATATGAAAAACTGCATACTACTTGGATGTAAAATAATTGCCATCATGGATTTGTCAAGCTGCTGCCTACCTTTGTGGAGCAGACTAATGCAAAGTGAATCCAGAGGAACTTTTTATTGCCTACCTGGAATCAGTAACAATAGTTGAATAAACTTTTGGCTCTCAAAATGGTACTCGTCGATACCGAAACCAACATTTTAGTGTTGTATCAAGGCCCCGCCGTTACTGGTATCGGTATCAGTGCAACACTAATTACTACTTCTGTCAATTTTTATTTATTTTACTGCCAGCTGTGTTTAATGGAAGCCTATATA